ACTTGCTCTTTGTGAGACTAATTTGAGTTCGGCTGTCCCATCTTGTGATCTTAGTGTTGATGGTTATCTTCCTTTAATTCGTAAAGACTCCAATAATCACATGCTTGGCCTGGGCATCTACATTCGTAAGAACTCACCCATTTGTCGTGAAACTAGGTTTGAATCTACAGACTATTCATTTATGTGCTTTCGTTTAGCACAACTTCACTCTATCGCCTTTCTCTTTGTTCTATATCGCTCTCCTTCATCCCAAGATTGCACTATTCTTGATGTTATTTCTGATCAAATTGACCAAGCCCTCTCTCTTTATCCATTGGCCAATATCGTCGTTGTTGGTGACTTTAATGCCCATCACACCGATTGGCTTGGCTCTAGTGTCAGTGACTCTGCTGGCGTTAAGGCCCTCAACTTTTGCCTTTCTCAATCTCTAACTCAAATAGTCAACTTTCCAACTCGTTTTCCAGACAACCCTAATCATTTACCTTCTCTACTCGACTTATGTCTTGTTTTGGATCCTAGTCAGTACTCAATTTCTCCACATTCACCCTTAGGTACTTCTGATCACGGTTTGATCTCTCTAAAACTATTATCAAATTCTTCTACTTCATCAGAATCCCCCTATCATCGTACCACATACAACTACCTTAAAGCTGACTGGGACTCTTTCCGTGATTTTCTTCGTGATGGCCCTTGGGTAGAAATCTTTCGTCTTCCTGCTGACAAATGTGCTTCTTACATAACTTCGTGGATTCAGGCTGGCATGGAATCTTTTATTCCCTCTCGACGATTCCAGGTCAAGCCTCACTCTTCTCCTTGGTTTTCCTCACATTGCGCTGCAGCAATTTCTAATCGAAACCGTTACTTCCATATCTATCAGCAAAACAATTCTCCAGAAAACAGACATCTGTTCACTATCGCCAGAAACCATTGTAAAAAGGTTTTGTCTGACGCCAAAGCTCGCTATTCCCAGGTCATTAAATCTCGTATCTCATCACAAAAATTAGGCTCTCGAGACTTCTGGAGAATCTTTAACAGTATCAATAATAAGGGCAAATCTGTTATTCCTTCTCTCTTGTATGGTTCAGACTTTGTCACCTCACCTAAAGACAAAGCTGAATTGTTTGCTAAGAACTTTTCATCAATATCATCTCTTGATTCCACTAGTTGCGTTTTACCTGACATAGCCGTCAAACAGGTTGATCCCTTGCTTGACATTCGCATCACTTCAGCTTCTGTATCTAAAGTAATTTCCTGCTTAGACTCTTCAACAGCTTGTGGTCCTGACAACATTCCTGTTGTAGTCTTGCAGAGGTGTTCTCCGGAGCTTTCATCCATACTTTCTAAACTATTTAACAAGTGCTTATCAGAGTCTTGTTTTCCATCATGCTGGAAAGCAGCATCTGTTATCCCTATTTTCAAAAATTCCGGAGAGCGATCTGATTCATCTAACTACCGTCCCATTAGTCTTCTTCCTGTCATAAGCAAGATTTTTGAATCTTTAATCAACAAACACTTAATCTCTCATCTTGAATCAAATAACTTACTTTCTGATCATCAATATGGATTTCGGTCTTCTCGTTCTACAGCTGATGTGCTAACAGTAATAACCGAAAGGTTTTACCGTGCATTAGATAGAGGTGGAGAGGTTAAGGCTATCGCACTTGACATTTCTAAAGCTTTTGATAAAGTTTGGCATGCTGGTTTTCTCCATAAGCTTTCATTTTATGGTGTAGCTGGTAACGTCTTTAAGATTATTGAGTCCTTTCTTTCCAATCGTAGTATAAAAGTTGTCCTCGATGGACAACACTCTTCTTCACATCCTGTAACTTCAGGGGTTCCTCAAGGTTCAATCCTTGGCCCTATACTCTTTTTAATTTACATTAACGATCTTCCAGATATTCTCACATCTAAGGTGGCATTATTCGCTGACGACACTACCATTTACTCTTGTCATGATAAGAAGCCTACACTCTCTGATTGCTTGGAGGGGGTATCTGAGCTTGAAAAGGATCTCACTTCTGCTACAGCATGGGGCTCACAGTGGCTGGTGAACTTTAATTCAGATAAAACTCAATTTTATTCGGCCAATCGTTATCGTAATAATTTAGATCTTCCTATATTTATGAATGGTAATGTACTAGATGAGTCATCTACCATTCATCTTCTAGGATTAACTCTTACTTCTGATCTTTCTTTTAAACCGTATATCAAATCCATTGCAAAATTAGCATCTGCTAAGGTTGCATCTCTTTATCGAGCTCGACACTTTCTTACTCCAGATTCTATTCTCTATCTCTATAAATCTCAAATCCGTCCCTGTATGGAATACTGTTGCCACATCTGGGGCGGATCTTCTAATGATGCTCTTTCTCTTTTAGACAAGGTGCAAAAACGAATTGTAAACATAGTTGGACCTGCTCTGGCAGCCAATCTCCAACCTTTGTCACATCGTCGTAATGTTGCTTCTCTTTCTCTTTTCTACAAATACTATAATGGGCACTGCTCTAAAGAGCTAGCGTCCCTTGTGCCATCTACTAAAATTCATTCTCGTGTTACCCGCCATTCAATTAAGTCTCATCCTTTTTCTGTGACTGTTCCTAAGTGCTTCAAAAACTCTTATTCTTCTAGTTTTTTTCCTCGAACATCAGTTCTTTGGAATTCGCTTCCTTCATCTTGCTTTCCTGATTCATATAATTTGCAATCTTTTAAGTCATCAGTCAATCGTTATCTTGCTCTACAGATTTAGTCTTTTCTCTTCCAGTAACTTCCAACTCTTATAGTGGTTGCTTGCAGCCTTGTTGGAAGTGAAGATGTTAAAAAAAAAAAAAAAAAAAAAAAAAAAAAACATAAGTTTTTCAAGGAGCTTGCTAATGTTAGATAGTATTGAAATTGGTCTATAGCAGGGTTGTCCAACCTTTTTGCAGCCAAGGCCATTGTTTTATTTTGATGACAACACGAGGACCACAAATTAAAAAAATATATTTTGTTTAATCTTCTTATTAAAAACAACTAATTCAATTTCAATATTGTCAAAAAAAAAATGTATTTAATGCAAAATTTGGCATTGTTTATTTTTACATAATGATCAATGTTAGCTTTAATAGTGGAGGATGAAATCCGAAGTGTAACATTGAGGTGTTCATCTTTCAACCTAAGTCTCTGCTCTGATTTAACATGTTTTGTTCTTGAAAAAAACTGTTCACAGATGTAAGTCCTTCCAAAAAGAGAAAAATATTTCATAGCATGTTTGCACAAATGTGGATAAACTTCAATGTTCACGTATTTTTTATAAAATTCTAGCAAATCAACATCTTTGTAAGCTTCTTTCCAATCTTGATTGATTTGTAGTTCTATCTATTCCATTTAAAATTCATTTCTTACTGTCTCAACTTTAATGGAAAATGGTTGTGAAAATAAGTCTAACTCATTCTTTTCTTCTTTAAAATCACAAAATCTTGTGTCAAATTCATCAATTACTTTTAAAATAAGATTAAAATATTTTTTATAGTCAACTGTGTTGGTATTTCTTTCTGACAATGTTTTAAAATGGATTAGTGATTTTTGACTTAATTGTTGTTTAAGAAGTTTTAATTTCAAAACAAATGTTTCTACATTTTCATATAATTTACTAATAAATTGATCTTTACCCTGCAATTTGATGTTTAATTCCATTAACATCTGAGTTATGTCAACTAAAATTGCCAAATCATTCAGCCAGTCATTATTTTCAACAAAACTTGTGTCTTTATCTTTAATTTTAGAAACTATTATTTTAGGTATTAATATCCAAAATCTTTTCAAAGTTGCAGCTCGGCTAAGCCATCTAACTTGGCAGAAATAAATGACATCTTCTGCCTCACTTCCACAATCCTCAAGTAAATATTTGAACTGTCTGTGATTAAGACCACGATTTTTTATAAAATTAACAGTTTGGATAACAATTTCCATGACTTCCTTCATTTCTAATACATAACTGTTTCTGATGTATAATACAGTGATATGAAAAAATGTTGTGATTAACGGATTTCTTAAATAATGCCACAAATCCAATATTTTTTTCTTTCATTGAACTTGCTCCATCTGTATTTTCATTTAACTTGCTCCATCTGACACCATATAGTTTTGTTTCTGCCAAATCAAACTTTAACATTAACAAATCAAACTTTAACATAACAAATTGTATTTTTTCAGGGCATACCTCATTACAAAATTATTTTAAAGAGTTTTTTATTAAATTTCCAGTACAAAAAGTTTTACCACTTTTTGCAATATTTTCTGCAATTAAAAAACTTAGTAGTTTGGTAGCACTGTATGAGCTAATTATGTTACTTTTCATTATTGATTGTTGCCCAATAAAATTTTTCTTTAGCAGTTCTAGCTTGTCAACACGGCCCTTGAAATAGGCTTTGAATTTATTATAAGTTGCTGCATGTTTTGTAGTATAATGTCTATTAACAGTATACATTTTACACATGGCAATTTTTTCAAAACAAATGAGACACATATTTGAATTATTTTGCTCCATTTTAAAATATTCATTCGTCCAAGATGGGTTAAATATACAATCTCCTTTTCCATTTTCAGTTTCAGCTCTTTGTCTTTTATTAGCACTAGCAGAAGCCTTATTTAAAAAATATAATTAGAGTTCTGTTAACCAAGTAGTCGATACCGTTTTAACCGGTTTTATTAAAAATTAGGCCGTAGTTTAAACCTTATTGCAATAAATTTTAAAAAAATCTGATTTTAAAAACTATATCAAAAAACTGCCCTAATCCTGAGCTACAGAAAAAATAGTTTTAAAAATATAATATTCATTTGATTTTAAAAGTTAGGTATTGAAAACGCAGGCTATGGGAAAAGACAATGAGGGCCACGCGTTGGACAACCCTGGTCTATAGTTAGTACATGAGAGTTTTGAGCATATATTTATATTTGCAATATTTATATTTGTTTAATTAAGTATTTTTAGGTATAAAGCTTTTTTTTTTGTAATTATTTAGAATGGTAGGAAAGAATGATATAACTAGCTACATTGCACCTGAAAAATTACTTTCGTGCATGGGTGGTTTGGTAAGACTATTAAATTATATATTTTACCTAATAATACACGCACACACACACACGCGCGTGCTGCTTTGCATTTTAGGTTGACACTGCTTATTTAATTTTTCAAAATCTTTGGTTAATTATGTTAATGTATGTTACCTTTGGTTAATGTATGTATTAAAACCCTTGTAGGTGTTTAGCTCTGTATGGCAACTATTCAGTATATCTAGTTTACTTAAATGGCTTTTTTATTTTCTTAGCTTCAATTCATGTTTTTATCTTTATACTATCATTGACTTAGTTAGTTTTCAATATTTATTCTGTAGTCCTCACTATTCATTCCGTAGTCTTCACTATTCATTCTGTAGTCTTCACTATTCATTCTGTAGTCTTCACTATTTATTTTGTAGTCTTCGCTATTTGTTCTGTAATCTTTACTATTCATTTTGTTGTCATTGTAAATGTTTTAGATGTGATGTTTAATTTATTTTAGCTCAAACAATTTTTTTTTGACTTTTATGAATAGCTTGCTCAATTCAATTTTTTAATAATCTTTTAATTTTAAATCTATCAAAGAGTTTTTTGCTTTACTATGGTTTTCTTACATTTTGTCATATTTAGAAAGATTTTTTAATGAATTGTTTTACTATGGTTTTCTTACATTTTTCCATATTTAGAAAGATTTTTTTAATGAATTGTTTTACTATGGTTTTCTTACATTTTTCCATATTTAGAAAGTTTTTTTAATGAAAATATTATCATTAATATACATCTTATTATTATTTAGATTTATTAAATTTCTTATAAGATGCTTGAATAATTTTTTTTACTTTTAAAATTTTGAAAAACTTTATCAAAACTGGTTATGGTATTTGTTTCTATAGAAAGAAAATGAAAAAAACTTAAAACTATTTTTTAGTTTGCAATAGAATTATCAAATAATGAAAATATTCTTTTACCATACTTATTAAACATAAAATTCTAAATGTTTGTGGATAATTTTTATTTATTCTGAAACATATCAAACATACCTCTATGTATATATAGCATTTCAATAATAAAATAGAATTGAGAATAGTAACACATGTAAGTAATATTTTTTTGAATGTCAAATAATCAATTACTGTATACAATTTGTAACATATTTTAATGAATATTTGTCAAAATGTGCGAGAGAACTCAAACCCCATTACTTATCTCACAAGTGAGAGAGTTTGAATCACTTCATTAGAAGTATTACTTGTTACTCAGTTCAGTAGCCTTGTTTTTTATAATTTGTGATTTAGTGATAAGGGACAGTTGTTTATGATTATGATAATGATGATGATGATCATCATCATCATCACCATCACCATCATTGCAACTTAATTTTATGCTTTTAAATCTCCTTTTTATTTATTTTTGATGATAATGATGATGATGTGATGATGATAATTTTATATGTTTTTTTACTGTATATTCTTAGAAAAAGACTCTTTTTTTCCCCATAATTTATTACTGTTTATTTTAAAAAATCATGAAATATACATCTGTGTATAATAATTTAACAATTTATCAGGATGATTTTGTTTACAAATATCCTCCTCAGATGTTTTCAGCTCCACCTACTGCAAGGTATCATTAAATTTAATTTTAAGTTAAAATTTATAAAATTTTAAAATTTATAAAGTTATAAAATTAACCTATTACTTATATATATTATAAGTAATAGGTTATAAATTATATATATATACTTTCAATTTTAAATTTTTTAGATTTCAAAATGTGAGTTCAACCAATGAAGTATTTAACAGCATTTCAATAAGTTTAGATAACACAAATAAAAAAAACATTTTAGATAAAGCAGAAAAAAATGCTGATAGTAATTTTGATGAATCCTCTTTTGGTGAAAGTAATCGAGTGGTATGTTTAAAAATTTAAAATAATGTTGTTGAGTATTAAATGTATTATACTGTTAAAATAAAACTATTGGTGTTTTTAAAATAATCTTTTTTTTATTTATTAAGGAACAAAATGGAAGCAACATAGATCTAACATGTAAAAAGTCAGTGTACAGGGTAGGTATATTTGGTTGTTGCTTGAGCAAAGCTTTGCACATTGAAACCACTGAGATTCAATTTTTGAGTGCAAAATCAGTTTTCAATATTATAATAAAGTTTGTTAATTTGTCTAAGTAATAAGTGAAATGATAAATATTATAAATGTTTTATATATGCAAATATTAAGCATAGATTAGTTTTTTCCGGAGTTTTGAGTAATTTTTCAGAATTCCGGAATTTCACTTAAAATTCCTATAAGTTTCCAGAAATTTCAGGATGTTTATTGATTTGTGAAAAAGTAATATAAATTTTAAATATGATAATATTAATTTTTAAGCAAGTATGTTTTCTATAACTCAAATTTTCACAAGACCAATTTTCGCAATAATTTTTTTTTTTCTTTCTGTAATTCATTAAAATTAACTTTTTGAATATTAGAATTTCCTTTTCATAAGAAGTTAATTGATTTAAACTCTATTTTAAAAGTTTACAAAAGTTTTTGTTATATTATTATAATGAAGAAAAATTATAAAATGCAAATTAAGGGTTTATCTGACATTTCTGAGATGGACAAAAATATTTAAAACAAGTTTCGCTGGAATTGGATTCAAAAGAAAGACTATAATGAAGAGTATTATTCAGCCTATATAAGAAAGATAGATAAAGTTGGAATGGTGAGTTTATTCCCTAACAGAACACTAAAATATATAATTTTCATCATAATTATATAGTACTTGATTTGATGTTTTAGGTACGATTTACAATATGTAGTAAAGAATTTTATTATGGAAAAGAAGGTAAAAAATCTTTACTCAGCTACTCGAAGTCTAAAATACATTGTTAAAACTGAACAATGATTAACTTTACTTAAACGAAGCCTTTTTTTATTAATTTAAAAAAAAGCTCTGTATAAGCTACAAGAAAGATTAGGCATAGCTTTTCATGCTGAGTATGTTTTTAATATGAAAATAAAAAGTTTTTAAACATAGATGAGTACTTCTTGGCAAAAAATTAAAGGTTTTTAGTATACTTGTAGTATAATTTTGCAATAGAGCTAATAAACTTGTATTAAAATACAATGCGTCATTATTGCTTGTTACAGTAATTGCCAAAACAGTGCCGAACCCAGATGTAGTTCCATGGGAATTACACCCAACTAATGTAATTCCATGGGAATTACACCCAACTAATGTAATTCCATGGGAATTACACCCAACTATATTTAATATTATAATAACTATATTTATAACTTCATAAATCCACTGGATGGGAGAAAAGAGAGTATTTGACAAGGGGTTCCAAGCCTCAAGAATTTTTTTTTTTTTTTGGACTGGTACTGCTCAAACTATTGCTAGGTACTGCACTTCAAAAGTTTTTAAATACTGTTTTAAGACACAATTCCATTAATTAATCTAGTTTCCAATATATCAGATTTTACCAATTATATGAGGAGAAATCTGTAGGTTTGAAACAAGATTAAGAAAAGCGGTTCCTCACTTACTTAATATTGATGGTGAAATTTATCATCTTGTGCACAATGTTGTCAAAACATTTCTAGATAATATCTTCATTGATTTTAAGTTCAGATCTTTGTACATTTCTGAAAATATTTTGTCTAATCACAGGTATCACATACAACACTCCAAAACAAAGGGTTTCTCATTGGTAGTTATCTGTTTTAGATTGCACTCTTCCTATGCTCAAGATGATGCCTGCTTTTACCTTAATTTATTTTTCCTGGTTATCAAAACAGGACATCTCTCTTTATAAAGATGAAAATGACAAAATTTGAAAAATGAAAATGAGACTATCAAATGAAAAAAAAGAACCAATAGAAAATTAATAGAAAAAACTAATAGAAAAAATTAAATGTAAAATGCAGCAGAAAAAGCTTACAAAACAAGGTGCAGAACGAAAAGCTAGAATTGTTTAAAGCTCATTTTTCTGGCCTAATTAAACATGACTCTATATTAGTTTGTACATTGAAACTCTTCCTATTTTTAAATCATTTATTTTTACAAAGTTGAAATTTTTTATTCTGAGCGATAAAAAGTTGAATAATTATTTGAATTACATATACTTTGGAAGTAATGCTGAAAAAGATTTTTTTAGAATAGTTATTTGAAGTTCTGGTAAATCATCGTTTTTTTAAGACCTTGCATAAAACCTTATCTTGAATCATCAGTTTACTTACTTAACAAATTTCCTTTCAACAACTCTTTATTAAAATGCCTTTCTGGGATCTACCCAATGTTTCAAGGTCACAAAATTTCAGAGAGAATGCTAAAAAAACTCCCAGCTTTCTTTCCCACTGTATATGTAAATAAAGTAGTATTTAATCAAGAAGTTATGCGCTTCCACCCGTATTTGCTGATGGAAGGCCCATGCTTCTTGACTATTGGTAGGCAGAAATTTTTAAGTGTAAAAAGTATTTAGAGCTTAGTAAAATTATGAAGTATATTTAGTAGTTCTCATGTTGAACAATCATTGAGAATGGTGAACACCATAGTTAACAAAAAGACAAGCCATCTTGATCCTTCAACGTACTCTGCTATAGTTTCAGTTAAGTATCAATTATTAGTAAATAAGATCACAGATCTAGGGTACTTTAGGAGACTAGATATATTGCATGACTCAGTTAAACTCAGCAAACTCTATATTAAAAAAAATAGAATTCTATCAAAAAAATAGAAAAGTTGATGAACATTTTTTAATATAAATTCAGATTAAATGTGGAAAAAAAATTGCCTTACATAAATGAATCTTATATTAATCATGCAAATTATTAATTATGTTAATCATGCAAATTATTAATTATGTTAATCATGCAAATTATTAATTATGTTAATCATGCAAAAAAAGTGCAGAAAAAGATGATCTGATGAATGTTTTGCAACAGAAAATTATAAAAAAAAAATATTGATTTCTGAACCATTGTTTGACATTTTATATTTAAAAAGTAAATAAAATCACGCTTTAAAGGTTGTTTACTGTAAAACTGAGATATTTTTTCTATAGAATTATAGAGAAACATGATTATTCAATTTTTAATTATTTTATTTATTCCTTTACCAACATTCTAAAATTTACCAACATACCTTTGTCAACTCTTTGACCATAAATTTATATGGAATTTTCTTGAATTTTTATTTAAAAAATTTTCATAATGTTAAGAACTTATCTATGTATAAGCGTCAATGTTTTTTTTTCCCCTCTTTATACTGATATAAAAAAATATTTTATTTTTTGTTTCCGTTTGTAAAAATCTTTATGTGTATTTATCACATTCTTAAGGATTTTGATGATATTTAAACAAAAAATTAGTTTTGTTTATAGAGAAATGTTCGAAACTATGCTAAAAGTAAACTGGAATCTGCTGGCCCTTTTATAACTTTAAGGTATTTTTTAAATGTATTTTTAAAGTATTATTTAAAAGAATTTTAACATAATAAACTAGTATAATTAAAACATAATATTGTTTTTTTTAATATATATTTTAGTCCAGCCAATGAGTTGGTATTTTGTGAGAATAAATCTGGTGATATAATGCAAACAATAACCATAACAAACACTGTTTCCAGTTTAGTTGCATTTAAGGTTACTAAATTTTAAATTTTACTTATATTTAAAATATGCTGATGGTGATATATACAAGATATATGCATACAGGTGATGTATACAAATATAAAGTACAAAATTTTGATTCAAAGTAGTTATTAAAATAGTTTTTTATTTTTTGTTTTATTTCTTTAATTTTTCCCTCCTTGATTACTCTAAATTGTTCTTCGCATTTGCTCTCAATTTATACTTGTTTCAAAATTTTATTTTTAATTTATACTTGTCTTATCCAACAAAGTGGTTTTTTATACAACAAAGAGGATTTTTATTAAAAAAAAGTTAGTTTTTATACAATAATATGTATATTTTACTACTTTATTGCTTTACGAGGTATAGCAGAGATGGCAGTCAATCGGATCATCATTTCAACATTCAGTATCAATATATTTTATTGTTACATTGATATTGTATTATTTCTGAATCTTATCTAACAAATTTTGTTGAGTTATCAATAGGTTATCAATATCATTGATTATCGGTTGTTTTTTTGTTTTTTTGAATAATTCAAAACAAATTGACAAATGTTATTTTAAAGAGAAACAATCTGACCATGGTAATTTTAACTTTGTAAATATGGAACAATGCACTTTGATTTATTGTTGTGATATTTTTTATATTCAAATCATTGAACAATGACATTAATGACTATAAATAACAAAATGTAAAATTTTGAAAAAATAAGATAGGGGACCAATCAAAATTTGAGATGCCAGACCAATCAAAAACTGAGGTACAGGACCAATCTAAAACTGAGGTACAGGATCAATCTAAAACTGAGATACAAGACCAGTCAAAAACTGAGATACTGGACCAATCAAAAATTAGGTATTGTGAGTTGTGCTCGAAAAAGATAAGATATAAACTCTTATATCATTAAATTAGAATTTTTTTTTACCTATTCATAATGGGTGAGTTTCTAATTTCTAATCATAAAATTAATACTTCAATAAATATCTTCTTGAGATTTAAAAAATTAAGGCTCAATTAGTATGCAAAAAATTATAAGAAAATCAATCAACAAATTAATAAGTGCAATATATATTGAAAAAATTATAACAATTGAAAAACTTAAAAAGTTAAAAACAATACTGATGTTAAAATAACCATAAAAATGCAAATTAAAACTGTGTAGTGCAAACGAAATCAAATTGACTTAGCAACATCAAACGAAATCAAATTGACTTAGCAACATCAAATGAAGATAAAATGTTATAAGAAATCTGAGCAATATGAAAGACTAGAATACTTTTTAAGAATAATATAAAGTATAAAAAAAAAGTTTTAGTTGTTTTATTTTAATTAGCACAGCAATATCAACAATAATAAAACTTATAACATATTGATATTTGTTTATATTTTTAATTATTTTGAGTTATAAAATATTTAGTTAAAGATAAGTGCCTTTCTGCCAAAGAAAACGTTTGAAACAAGTACTTGAATATATTGTTGATGTCACACACATCAAAGTTCAAAAAAAATCAAAGTTTTCCAAATCCACTAGAGAAAAAAAGGCCTCAATCAAGTATTAATAATGCATCAATAGAGACAGACAGCAGTTAGCAAAGATAGCAGGAGGTCATGTGAAACACTTGAGGAATTAAACAAATGTCTATTAAAACTTGATTATCATCATTCTGTAACTTATTAAAGACTGGTACCTAAACAATCTAACACACCAAAAATTCTACACTCTAATTAAAGTACAACAAGCTAAAAGAATTTCTGAATGTTGAAGAACTTCTATTAACAACACTCATCTGTCGATATTGAGAAAATCTATGCTCTATAAGATCACTCTGAAGTTGTGAAGTAAGCACATACAAATATCCTTCTTCACAAGCTCATATCTAAGCATTGCTTGAGAACACAGAGTTGTAATAAGAGTATACAATTTTTGTTTTGATGAAGTAAAAATTAAAATTACTGCTAAAGTTCAACCCAATTAGCTAGTTGCCTAAAAAAATTTGTTTTACCATCATCAAAAATAATGCATTAGGTGAAGACTTTGATATGTAAGTTTTTTTAAATTTCCTTGGTCTTTAAATTACCTTCATCTTTAGAATGTAGAAGATGAAAATCTCCCCAAATAATATAAGTTATGCTTATAATTTTATGTTTTAATGTGTCTTTAAATAATATAACTTATGCTTGACATTTTATAATATAAAGAAATATTATCTATTAATCATAAAGATAATATATTATATATTAATCATAAATGCAACAACTCCTTTTTACAGAGTGCCATTGTCATCTTCACCCAAATAGACACAACTACTATATTGTGTCTGAAGATAAAATTTATCTACAATTAGTATTATATCATGAATTGATCCTTTTTCACGAAGCATGTTAACAGCCTTTATTGCACCAACTCCATCTTAATTTATTTTATTTAATGAAGGTAATGGAAACGATTCAAGTAAAATTTCATATGCTTATTAAGATGCATATCTTAATAATAAAGCATGTCTAATCATATCTGCAGAATATTGTGGTCTACCCCCTCAGCTTTAATAAAGATTTTACTTGAATGTATGATGCAAGATTTTTTTAGCGTACTCAAACTAGTTAACTTGTCATCTTGATCAATGACCTTTAGTTAACCATGGATGAAGCAGAACATTATTTCTTTTATATTGAAAAGTTACATATAAAGAATGATCAATTTTTATTGATTTAAGAACTAATTGAAAATGTGTTATAGGATCAAATTTTAAATTGTAATAAATTACACAATTTAAACGTTTTTTAAATTAAAACTTTCTAGTGATTTTTACTGTTTAACTTGTTTCATTTAGCTATTTTATCATTTTCGGAAAAAAAACTAAGTTCATCTTTTTTATAAATATGAGTTTTAGGTGGTCTTCTCAAAGAATGGTGATGGTAGTGAGGAAGGCCGTTTTAAGCATTTGCTTGAGAAAATATCAGGAATAAGGTTTAAATTAACTTGCATTTTATAAGTTGTATAATTTTCATTAAAATGCTTTTCACATAACGGAAAATGAAAAGAAGCAACTTTTATATCTTCCAAAAAACTGTTGTATCCAGTTTTACAATCATATGTAACATACTTGTTAGCCATAATATTCAGCTTTGTCAATATTTATAAATTTTCACTGTCACAAAATACTGTCAATTTCAAGTTCTTTTATAATATGAAAAATTGAACTATAACATAATCTAAAATAATATGATATAATTGCTCAATTTATTGTAGGGTTTTTGTAAAGTGAAGTTGTCACTAAAAATCTCATTGTATGTTATATTTTTTAAAAGGTAATGATCACCCCACTAATTTCAAAATACAAAATCATCTTTCTTTATTCTAATACATAAATAATTTTATTTGTTTTTTACATAAATATATTCACGTTTAGAGACGTAGTGTTAACTTAAAGAGTCCATGCTAAATAATATCCATTTTTAACCCAAATCAAAGTTAAATACTAGTGCATCCAATACCGATAACATTTTTCAATACCGGTATTTCGGTACTGAATTATTTCAATACCGGTAATACCGGTATAATACCGGTATTATTTTTATTATTTTAATTAATCATAATATGAATAAAATCTCAAGTAAATAGTAAAACTTCTTTGATTCAAAATGCTATTTTATTTTATATCAAAATTACAAACTTTTTCATTCTTCACTTTTTTCTCCTTTGTAAAGTATGCCCGTAAGAAACATAGTGCATTCAGAGTATCATCTTCAAGAGATGATCGTAATTTTGTGACAAAGTTGCCTCTTGCTGAAAATCCACGCTCCGATTTGACACTTGTTGGCTTTACAGTTTTCAAGTATTCGTATGAATTTTCCAAATATACACCGCAAGTTCCTCCATCTTCAAAAACTACCATCTCATTGCATTTGGTTTTTGATAAATTATTCAAAACGTTCATTCTTTCCTTATTGTTACATTTCTTATTTAAAATTGCCATGTCAAGCTTTTCTTTCAATGACAAGTTTGCAGTGTTGTCAACAGAATCGCTATCAGAAGATACGCTGGTGGAAGGATTATAAGCTCGCTGACTGAGCCGATCATTCAGTCGAGCAATAATATTTACAATGGCCGATTTGCTTAGGTGTTCGAAAGATAGCGCTGGATCCAAATTTTCGTAACATTGATGGCCCTTGTGCAGATAGTGCAGTAAGCTGGAAAAAGTTGTACGTCGCTCATTGATTCGTCGCACTAAAGTAACTTTTAACTTAACAGCTAAATCTGTGTCTCCAATGTTATTTATCATGGACATTAGTGTTGCATCGGCTGATAACAGTGTTGCATCATTTTGACACAATGCTTCCACAGCCAATTTTACTGGCGCAAGACAGGAAACAACATCTAAAATTGAATTGAACTCCTTATCAGTTATTTCAATTTTGGATTCAAGGTCAATCAGCGACTTGCGAATGCAGTTTTTCAATTTCGCAAAACGTTCGAGCATTGTGTGTAAGCTACTCCAGCGAGTTTTGGAGTCAAGTATCAACAAAAGGCCTTTACCAAATTCCTCTACTGTGTATTTTTGAAGTGTTTGATCATTTTTTGTCGGAGAACAGCGAAACAATTTTACAACGGTGCGCCCCTTAGTGATTAACGGCTGCAGTTCATCAGTCATTTCAATAAGGTCATCTTTTTCACTCATTACAACTTGAAACCCGCCGGAAAAGTCTTCTTTGTCGTCATTGGTTTTGTTTGTATCATCGTCAGTGCTAATATCCTCATCACTTTCACTGATGTTGTTGTAATTGCAGATTACTTTCAAGCTTCTTTTTGTACAAGTTGACGGTTTTTTGTACAAAACTTCTTGAACACCCAGTTGTATGCCATGCACAATGCACAACTGTTGTTCACAATTACTCAAACGCCCCACCTTCTGCATTACGGAAGCTCCATCAGTAGAAATACACACAATGTCTTCATCATAGTTCAGCATAAACTGTGTCAATACTTTTTGAACTAAATCAATGCATTTTTCTGCAGGCAGAAAACCAACAACTCTAGCTAATCCAAGGCTCCAAAATTCGTCCTCGGTGTGAACGTTTACATTTAAATATCTGCGGTTTTTAATTGATGTCCATTCGTCAAATGTCAAACTGAATCGCAACCCTTGTGATCGGAGGTTATTAAACTTAGATATTACAGTTTCTTTGATTGTGTCTGCGTATTTAACTACCATATTGCGAATTGTCGTCGCTGATTTTGGAACAACAAACCCACGAGCTTGTAGCGATGTTTTCAGCTCTGCTGACGTGACAAATACGCTAAAAGGTAGTCCATCAAGGGCAGTCAATCTAGAAAAAACTGCAGGCAAGGAATTGTCGTGTTGATTTTGTAAGAAGTCGGTGATCTGAGGTTTGGGTTTTTTGGCTGTTGGCAACGGTGCTAATGAAAACGAAACCGATGTCGATGCTGAATCTTGGACCAATTTTCTTTTCAGTAAGTCAATTTTATGGTTAGTTCTTAGATGTGTATGCAGTCCACTGGTACTGCCACCATTTGATTTTATCTCTTTGTTGCATTTCTTACACTTTGCAAGTTGATTTTCTTTATCACGTAGAAAATAAAACCACACAGAATTTTCGTCATTTCGTACGCCAGTACTGAACTCTTCGAATACCTTTTGGGACATTTCATACGTTTCTTGACTTTAAAGTAAATGAATTCATAAGAAATAAAATATTGATTATTAGTTCTTAATTGAAATCGCACAATTTTTTTTTTAATAAAAATTATCTGAAGTTTCAATTTTCTTATAGTAATTTTCTATTTGCATTCAGTTTGCATTAGTTTTTTATATTTTTTATATTTCCTATTCACAAAGCGTTCCACGTGCGCATGGTTAAAATAGTAAACATTCCTGGAATGGAATGGAATAACCGCTGATTTCTATAATGGAAATTCCATTATATAATGGTTATTCCATTCCATTCCAGGAATGTTTACTATTTTAACCAAGCGCACGCGGGTACGCTTTGTGAATAGGAAATATAAAAAATATAAGAATTTCCATTATAGAAATCAGCGGTAACGACTTCAAACTTTTCATTCATTGTGTTAGTGCAAAACACAAGCACGTGCTCAGCGACTGACATAATGCTAATATATAATACAGGGTTGCCACTATAATTTTAAAAGTTTTGCCCTGAGTTTTCCCTGAGTATTTCCTGAGTAAAGAAGGTTCTTCCCTGAGTTTAGCTATCTAAACTCCCTGAGATATTCAAATTATATATCTGTACTTCTTGGTTTGAAACTACTGTACTAATTGAATTGAAAGTAACCAAACCATATAAATTTAACATCAAATGTACAATTAAAAAAAAAAAATTACTGATAATATATATTATGAATTTTATCATAACTTAAGTTATTATTAATAAATTAATAAACCATTATTTTACAAAAATGGAAAATGATTTTCCCTGAGTATTTCCTGAATATTAAAAAAAAAAAATCCCTGATTTTTCCTTGTTTTCCCTGGGACTCATGCTATTTCCAGATTTTTTTTTTTGGAAGTTTAATACCGGTATTGGACAAACCCAATACCGGTATTAAACTTTCGTATTTCAGTACTTGAAAAAGTCCGGTAATGCCGGTAAACCGGTATCGGTACTACCAGTATTGGATGCACTATTAAATACTAAGCAAGGACTAAATAAAAAAGTATGCTTCTAATATAAATAAAAAAATTTTTTCCTTAAGGAAGACTTTAGATACTATTGTGTTACATGAGATATGGCCCCTCCCCATATTATAATAATAGATGCAAAAAGCTGTGACATTAAAAGTCACAAGGTAAAACTTTGCATTGTGTGATATTATTTAAAAATATTTCTAATTTCTGAAAAACTATTTATAAAAATGAAAGTATATTATTAGTGTTGGGGTTAAATACATATTTGTATTTGGTAATAATGGGCTAAATTGGTATTCGTATTGTATTTGATAAAAAAAATTTCTTAAAAAGTTGTATTTGCATTTAATTGAAATTTGTAATTCCATAAACTAGGTTGACAACTCTCGAAATTAGGAAAATTGAGGTCGGTAATATTTTGCCAACCTCAATCTTTTATAGGTCGGTAAATACAAAGGTCTTACCATAAAACATCCAAAAGAGGTTGGCAAAACCAAATCTTTTTTGCCGACCGCAAACACGTTTAGGTTAGCAGTTAGGTCGGCATTGCCAAATGCCAACCCTAATTCCAAGGGTTGGGTTGATCAGTGCTATTTAGGAAAAATCAAGAGATTTATTGTTTTATTTCATTTTTGACACCAAAAAAAAGTTAAAAGTTTGTTTTTAAGAGGTATTTATTAAAAGGCTTGTTTTCATTCTTCTTTTTAGTATAACATTTTAAGAGTATTGTGTTGAAAAAATCTTTGTATTTTTTTCTAAACTTAAAATACAAATGTTTGTATTTGGAAAATGCTGATTACATATATTTGTGTTTGTATTTGGGAATTTAAAATAAATGTATTTGCATTTGATCAAATGTATTTGACCCCAATCCTGTATATTGTAAAACTAATACATTAGTTTTGTGTTGTTTATTTAAAGTATTTTTATGCTTTTATTATATATTTTTAAAATATTGTTAACTCTTATTTAAAACTTCTTTTTTTTCATATTTTAGATTAAGACAACAACACCAGAAAACTTTCGAGTTCGTCCAAGTTCTGGGCCCATTTCACCCAGTGCAACAGTTGAGGTTCAAATATATCTTCAACCAGGTAAGTCAGCAACTTTAGGTTGAGACAAATATTTAGTTTTTAGTTTTAACTTAACAAAATATTAAAGAATAAATAGTTAAGAGGGTGAGACTATTTGATATAAAAATATTTAAACATTTCCAGATGATATTAAAGGAGAACAATTTATTTTTAATGCTAAAAAAAAAAAATGTTAATGATGCATAAACTAAACTGGGGTAAAAGTAAATTTTAAAAAAAAAGTGATTGGTTTTACAATTTTGTAAATATCTTCAAAAATGTGTTACATTTTTATTTTTGAATAATATCTAAAAATGATTTGTATTTGCATTTGTAAAACACAAAGAACTTAGACAAAAGAGCAGTTACAAATTGCGGTAGAACAAAATTTTAAAAAAATAACACTCTGTAAAGCTTAAACCCATAAAACATACTAAAGGCACCTATTTACAAGCCTGTGCGCAACTTCAATCACAAGGTAGAGATAGAGTGTGTACAACTTCAATCACAAGGTACAACCATATTAGGTACAACATTTTAACTTGCTCTTAATTTAGATTTTAAATATGTTTAGCTGATTGAGGATTTGGCAGAATGTTTGCAGATTTCATTGCAATAGTTTATCTGTTTCCACCAAGCGGTAAATCAGGAAAAAATTAGTATCAAGGCTTGACAAAACAAATTTGTCTCTAAGGAGTTTTTTTCTAAAAAATAATAACAAGTTAGTTTAATACACTTCAAAAACTTGATACAAATATTAACTTTGTGCAATTAGTGGAATTTTGATAAAATTTGATTCTTTGGTCATCAAGGCCTGTAGTGGTAGATTGCTTGCTTTGTAAGCGAGTTTAAACTTAACTACTGTACCACACTTAACTTTGTTGTGCAGGACCTTGTTTAATAAAACTGTTTTTGCAAATCTGAAACATTAATTAGTTCACTTCAAAGGAAAAAAAACTGATTCTTTTAGGTCTAGAGCTAAAATAATTTCTAATAGTCATAGTTCTAACCATCAGTAACAAACAAAGTTTGTTACTGATGACTGTTATAGATATAATTTGACACAAACTTAGTATATAAAACATAAAAAAATACAACATGCATCTATCATCAACTCTTTAAAGCTGAGAAAAAAAATCTAATTGGCTATGAACACAAAGTCTAAATGGGAGACTGAGGTTAATTAGAACATAGGTTTTTTTGTGTCGCCTAGCAAGCAGTTTGTCAATACAAATGAGTTTGAAAAGTTTGAAGAATTAAACTATTTCATATTTTA